GGTAGTCATCAAGTGTGTAATGTTAGTAGTAACTAGCGATTGCTTGCTTTCTTTCTTGTAGGTGCTGATCAGCGTGTACAACGCCGGCATCAACACGTCAGATTCGTTGATGGTCCGCAACCTCCACCACCTAAAGCCACAGCTGCCCTTTGTTCCGGGTATGAAAATTCTCGAATACGCTTTCATGGTTGAAAATGTCGCTTTTTACACTAGGCTTTGAATTGGCGGGCGAAATTGCTGCAGTAGGCAAGGAGGTGACGCAGTTTCACGAAGGTGATAGGGTAATGGCTCTGAAGACGATAGATCTCGGTGCTTTCGCTGAAAAATGCGTTGTAGATGAGGATGTAAGTCTGTGGTAAAGGGTTTATCTCTGGTGGTCTATCGGTGGTCCCATTTCAGGAGGCATTCAAAATTAATCCGAATCTTTCTTACGAGATGGCCGCTGTTCTCCCCTGTGCTTACGGTTCCGCATATTATGCCTTACAAACCGTTGCGAAGGTGGAGCAGAAGTACGTTTCATTCAGTTTGCGTTGAAAGTTCATTGCGTCCACTCAATCTTCCTGATTTCAGACAAACGATTCTAGTTCTGACATCACAGGGCGCTTCAGGAATGGCAGCTATCGATTTGGCGCTAAACGTCTTCAAATGCAAGGTTTAGTTCTGTATTATTTGTAGGTAATTTCGATGCAGCCCAACTAGCCCACGTAGAATTCAATTACGCATAGGATTCAGAGAGTTCTTTAAATGATTCTACTTCATTTTGAGTTCCTGAACATGTCATGTTAATGTTCTGTAACTTATCTGAGCGGATGATCTATTTTTCTAACACTCTACTTTACAGAACAATAGAAGCATTTCAAGGGGTAATGTCGTTGAAAAAATACAAGGTAATCAGTGAAAAATTACTGTTAACCTAGCCGAAGCATACAGCAAGTAAAACTAGCGTCAGTTAACTTTGCAGTACGTAATCTGGTGGTGTACAGTCAAATGACACAGCAAAAATCCTAACATGGTTTTAAAAGAAGATTGCGAAGGATTCCTGGATTCATCATATGTTATTCATTGAAGTCCTTATGTACACGAGGATTGGACTGCATAGGTTCAAGACGCATTCCAGTTTCCGTGGCTGATTATCGCGATATCAGATATCCTCTATATGCTTCAGTTCTTGCTCGAATTTTGTAAACGCACTGTAAACTTGTGGGTCCTCGAATTACATTTTTAGATAGCCCAATGTGTGGGGTTAGAGAGCAGATCATAATCTGTAACAATCATATAAGAAAGTTGAACTTATATGAGAACGAATTCCAGAACAGGGTACGTTCATGACGTGGATTTCTCTGTACAGCGAAAAAAAGTATATTAACCAAGTATACGTAATTAAACGGAGAATACGAGCTCTGAGAAGATCGGTTCTGTTTTTTCTGTAGTTTCAAGGAACAGCTGAACCACTGCGTATTAGCAAGTACATTCGTCGTGTACAATGATGTGAAGACGTTCGTCTGTACTTACCCATAGAGGGTCATGGTAAGTGGCGATTTCCGTCGTGCAGCGAGGAGCGAGTCAGACTGTTAAATTAGAGCAAAATGCTTGTTAACCACGAATAACCGACTCAGAACAGTGATTTTGCAAAGATAGCTTGCAAGTCACCTGGGAATTTAATGGCACGTAATATAAAACGAGACAGGACTAGTCCTTCTTTAGCGCATGTTTAATACTGATGTTTTCTATAAAATTATATGAATCCCCATCATAAAGCTTGATTACTAGTACGACAATGCAACTA